TCTTTTTAAGCAGAAATTGCGATATAACGCAATTAAAGCTTCAATCATTTGAATACTTTTGATTTTATACAATAGATTCGATAATTTTAATCCTATTTCATAAATACCTTCAGCGAGAATAAGTAGAAAATGAAAACTACTGCAAACAACTAATTGGTTACTCTCATAAATATTGCATCAAATTTATCCTTTATCTTTCTCACAATTGTCATCCTTAATTATGGAACATAAAATAAATTAAGTTACTCCAACTTAATAAAAAATTATGGTTTAAAGGTTTGAGGTACATATGTTTGTAAAAATAGAAAGTGACACATTTTCTTGCAAAACAAAACAAGATATCAAAGTAAACCTATTCACATTGTATGCATCAGTATTTCCAGCGGCAGATAGAATTTTATTTAGAAAAAATATTTAACAACCTCGGTTGCAGAGAGAAATTTAATTAAACTATCTCGTAGCCTGACATCGACTGGCCTTCAACTTTCCTGTGATAATTATAAATTGGTCGAGTTACCCTCTAGGATACCGTTTAAAAGAGGATAACTTTATTAAATTTGTACCAAATAACGTCTTTTTTTCTTTCTTTTTTTGAGAAGTTGGAAGGATTAATGTATTACTACGTCTAAAGCTTTAACGAGAAAGAAAAATTTGGAAAGTTTTAATCAGTCGGAATTGCGGAGAACAACGGTAAAGATCGCGTTTCATACCTTTTTTGCCCGAGCTTATAATGAAAATTTAAATAATCTGTTTTGTACATTTATGTCAGTCATGTATGTGCTGAAATTTCTCAAAAGAGAACTCAAGTCGTTCGGTCCAATCTTAAAGAAGTTATTCTGTTTTAAAGAATGCCCAAATATTAATGCAACTGCATATCTCAGAAATTTTTAATTCGACCGCGTATATTATTAGCCAACACGGCTATCTCGATTATTTATAATGTTTTAACATCCATATAATGGCGGCGGCTCCCGATAAAGGTTATTGTACACTTCTCTGCGACCACACTGTAAATTATTAATAAAACGTGACTACATAGCGATTTAATTGAAATTTACAGACGCTAATATTCCTATTGTTTTCTTTTCATTCTTTTAAAGAATAGATCGTTGTACATTCAACGTTGGTAAAATTGAATAAAGCTGTACTGAATTTTTCACTGTAAATTCCATTGTATATCATTTTTTACTGAAAATAGTTCTACGACATCTGATAATTATTGTGCAAATGTCAGTTTCATTATTACATGTTAACTTTTATAAATCAATCATAATGTTCTATTATATATACACATATATATTACCTAAAAGTATGACGTTTTCACTTTTCTATTTAGTTTTTTTATTATTTTTACAAAATTATTTTTCCTTGATACTACAATATACAAAGAACCACTTTAAAAATATTTTATTCTAGTTATTGAAATTTTTACCAAAATGTAATTTAGTTGTAATATTGTAAAAAGAACGATCCAGAACCATTTTACTATTAGAGAAAACTACTACAATATGCAATATGCAGTATCATTTGCAAGTATTAAACATTGTGGAATAATTTCATTATTTTAAGAAGTTTATTACGATTACCTTGTTTCATTGTTATGATTCTTCCAAATTGATGTTGTGATTAATCCTAGCAATATTTCAAACTAGTTAATACACGTATAAGCATATGAATCATTTACTTAATTTTAATTAATAAATAATTAATTATTTACTAATAGGATTAATATCAGTAATAGGATATGGTTATAAAACAATTTACACCTAATATGATATAATATATATCTGTTGATTCTACAAAAAGATAGTAAGTATTAATTTTGATCATTGTATTGACCATTAATTCATATATCTCAGTAATATTGATATATTGTATTAACAACATGACTAAGGTGTCTATATACTTTCTTCTTTCTTAACGAGCATCACTGTAGCTAAAATGAATTTACTTTTATGATCAATTGTAGTTTCTAATTTGAATGTATGTTGTGAAGAATAAACAAACTACGAAATCAGCATGCTTTGGAATAATACTGTATTTAATAGTATTTATATTTATATTATAATATTCAATAGTAGAATAATACGATTCGATAATATTGCTTCGTCACGGTATCGTTAATATTGCTTTCTGCTACTTCTTCTTGCATTTTCGGAAACGGTTACTCGCGTTTACTAAAAGTGGTTACTCGCGAGATAATACATACGATGTGGAATTATTAGATGCAGAACAAGACCGGCTAATAAATATCCGATATGTAATCATGGACATCCCCATTGTGGACTGGAAAATGAAACAGTGGCAAATGGAAACTTGGAGTCAAGTATTATTAGCAGAACTATACCGCTGGCTGTCCACCTAAGTTGAAACCAATTTCCTGAATATATAACCTGTCACGTTATTTTACCGAGAAGTATCCTATGATACTGAAACGTGATATGATTTTGTGATTGCATTCTGATGCAATATGAATTGTTAATTGTACCACATCATAATTTATTGGCAATTTAACACGTATTTTAGTCGGCTTCTCCACTTATACATTATTGTTAATACTGACATTCAATTATCTAATCCAATAATAGTATATTATTTTAAATATATAATATTCAATGCGGTTTGCTTTAATTATAAACGATATATGAAGACACCTCGTTATTGTCTAATAGTTATAATTAATTTGATGTTTCCTTAAACAAAATTATAATTACAGATGTATTATCTACTTTTTCTAGATAGATATCATAAAAAGTGTGTAAACAAATAAAAGACACCGCATATAGCAGACAATATCTTATGCGCATTAATTCGAAATCCATTTTAATGACCCTTGCCTTCCACCCATAAATTAACTTTTTTGCTGTATGAAGAAAGTATTCAGAAACAAAAGTAATAGTTCTTGCAGAGGTCAGGAATAAATCAAGACCGAATCATTTTTTGTTCTGTGAGAAGCTAGAGGAAAATAATACCGCAATTAGTTCCAACGATTAATGAACATGCTTTAAGGTCTCGATATAAATTCTCTCTTTAAAATCCGGCGAGTCGATGTCGTGTAACTTTAATTTTTTAGCGCGATAGTTGATCGGTACATATGTTTTATATTCTGCTTGTAGTTGTTTATTATTGCAGATTTAGCCGGTCCCAGATTTTATTAATATAAGGGTTACGAAGGAAAATCACAAATAAATATTCAAGGAAATATAAACGAATTTATAGAAAGCCAATTTATAATAATATTATAACAACTTAATTAAGTTGCTTAAGAATTTGATAATCATTAAAGATCTGTAGATACTACTGAGAACAAATTTTTACATCGAAATATTTATTACATAATAATTACAATTGAAATTAAATGTTTTAAGAACTAAATAAAATGTTACAGATACGAATGACTATATTGTTCAGCAATATGTTAATTACCAGATGTTCTTAAAAGGTTCAGAAAATACAAGTTAAAAGTATCTATTTTTCCACGTTCCGAATGTTTTTCTGCGATAATTGGAATAATACATGATTGCTTATATATATTTCGTAATGAACGTGATGAGAAAAGATAGAAATCTCCTTAATAAGAATCTTACATCATAATCCCGTTTATACGGAGATTAATATACGCATCTAAAAAGCAAAATAATTGTACTATAACTATTATTATAATTAATAAATTAACTATTGTCACGGGTATTGTTATATTATTGTCATATCGTGCTTCGCAATTATACTTTTGAAAATTATAAAATAACTATAATATCAAGCGGAACGTGATATTTCTTACGATCAATGAAGATAATTAACTGCATCATTTGGCCTTGCTACGGTCATTTAAATTTTTATGCTGATAACTCTGGATTATTTAAGTGTAAAAATGAAGATATTGTAACACGCACTCTGTCGTTCGTTATCAGCTATTTGACGAAGGAATTATGTCATATAATTCCAAAAAACAATTATAAATCGATAAAAATTGATAAAGCATGGATTTGACACAAGAACAGAATAAACGATTAACGACGAACCGTGTTCTCTTGAGATTCGAAATGTTACGCGGTGAGTACATTAAGGAATTGGGAACGTCGAATATCGGTACTCGATATTTCCATTCGCTCCCAGCTCTTTCGGATCTTCATATGTGAAAATATTCGATGTTATTAAAATTCCTTTTTTTTAAATAGCAAGATTAGGATAATTCAAGAATTGGAATAATTTTTTAAATATTCTGAGAAATTTTGCAAATAAATTGTTATGACTATTTGTATTTAATTAATTGCGTCTGATTCAAAGCTATATTATACGATTATACTGCCTGCAGTGAATCTTCTAGAATTTTCTTTTAGAATCTCTTTTAGGATCTTTTTTAGAACTATAAGATTAGAACAATGTGGAACTTCGAATATATTTAGGAATTTTTCAAGAAATTTTGCAAATAAGCTATTAAACTATTATTGCAGATAATCCTCGTGTAACTGGTTACGTGCAATTCAAAACCATATGTACTGTTTACAGTGTACTTATCTATTAAGAAGTCTATCTAAATCTATTAAGATATCTGTTAAGAATACAACACTTTATTTGATAAACCATGTGTCATTTGGCAATAACGCCAACGTCAATATTAGACAAAAGATGATACAATTGAGCCTTGAACAAGAATATTTGAACAATAGGAAAATGAATTCAATTATACGAGGATTTCTCCTTTAAAAAATTTCGGGAGCAAACTCATGCTTTCGAATTGGTCGATTCAAACATATGTATAACCGAGGAACCAAATACGTTGAGCTCCCCTTCCAAATCGAATTTTCCTCGCATCTATAAGGAAATCGCAAAAAATGGCGAATCCCCGGATCAAATACGAGATGTAACAATCGACCGTGTGTTTGGAATACAGATAGCCGCGGTTCGACTCAATAAGCATCGAAATCCCTACTCAAATAGCTGTTCTCTCGCTGTGAAAAGATGTTGAGGTGGGGCGGAACAGGATGAAGGTTTGACCGCGAGGTTTCGTGTTCGATCAGTGTTATTTCACTCGTTGCGCACCTGCGAGCGATTTGCGGCGCGATTTCGGATAAAAGAAAGGAAAAATAGAGCAAGTTGAACTGGTAGAGACGTATCAAGGGTTTAAAGAAAAAATAATCATCGATTCAACTTCAAAGGTAAGATACGTAGAATAATTATTGACGAAATGAAGCTTGTCTCTAACATTAGAACGATTAAACTTGTCAAAATGACAGATTCCGGATTCTTTGTTTCAGCGATTACTAAAAATATTAATCGTAAATTTTTATCAAAATTAGTGTCGACTTTAATTGAACTTTCATTGAATCCACTTTTTTTTACTACACCACTCTTTATTATAATTATGTATGTATAATATATATTGTAATATAAAATTATGTAAGCTAGATTTCGTGTTAGAAACATTTGTTTAAATATTTTTAAAGTGCTGAAGTATAATAATACTTACTAACTTTTGTAGTAAAGTAATGGGATGAATCACTTTTAAAAATGCGTATATTATTTAATTAACTTAACTCATTAAATTTGTTTTAATATCGCAATTATATCCTACTTAACATGAAATTATGTGATTGCAATTATAAATTATAAAACTAAAAAAGAACATGCAATGTACAAATTGTCATCTAGTCAATCCAGCAATATTACAAGTATTATAGTACGAACTAGTGCATCTCTACTCAAATTATCCTTTTCCAAGCGAAATCCTCAAAAGAGAAGCAAAACGAAACAAAAATCGCGGACCTCACATATCCATGACTAAAATTATTAAATTACGTCTTGATGGGGACGAAACTCAGTCTCTATGACGTGGGATTATATCCTAATAATCCGAAATGCAATATTTTCCCTGATTTGCAATTAAATAGTTAGCATTCATTTCAGTTAGCAATTTTATTCAATTCTATGCCCAATTGAAAGAAATATTAAAATTGTCTGTTATTGCTACCTACGAAATCCTTTCTCTTCTGAATGAAACCAACTAAGCTTTAAATTTAATTAATTCGTAATTAATAAAGTGGTATTTTAACCCTACTGAATATAGCATCGTAAACTTTTGTAGTGCCCTTTTAATGTAATTTATGAACCATAGTTATAACATCATAATATTATTTATTGCAATTATTTTATAATTGCAAAATATAAGGAAAGCAGACCTGAATTGCATTTTTCTTATATTTTAAGCGAAACGCTGGTAGATGCATTGTAATTATTTTGTAATTAACAGGGTACGTTTCCAAATAGCAAACTTGCTACATATATACGTATGAATTTTTTCTTTTGTTTTCCTCTAAACAAAATAATTAATTTGTAATTAACAGAACGTACATTCAGACATTAGAAGTAAGAAAATGAAATAATAACGTAAAAGAAAAACTTGAATGTACTTTTTCTCAATGAAACTTGGTAAATTTTATGGTGTAATTATCTCGCAATTAAAACAGTAGGTATATATGTATACGTATGTTTCAGCGTTAGGAATAGGATAAATTTCTTCTGGATGCGAAATCCAATAGCTTTTGTGGTGCAATTATTCTCTGAATTTTATATTAATACATGAAAAACATGAAAACAAAACATGAAAAAAAATATGGCGGTTATAGAAAAGATTTTTTATTGTACTGTCTTTTTATGATTGAATCTTAATATTTTAATATAAAATAGTTAAAAGTGGGAAAAACCTCTTAATTTTCAAAGATGTGACTGCCAAATTTTTGTATAGGTGTAATATGTAACTGTTAAGAATTTTTATAGAATTTTATTTTTCTCTTAATATTTTTGATATTTTATTATTACGAACAACATTTTTTAAATTATAAAGAGGGTAGGAAAATAAATGTTGAACGTCAAAAACAAATAATAGTACAATTTCAGTAACAAGAAAACTAATTGGCAACGTACTGGTCTCTAAAACTGTTCTTTTATCAAAAATGGAAAATGTGATTTATTGTTTTCTTCCTCTGAGGTTCCATATAATGTATTGAATGTGTATTCGACTGAGTTTCGATCCTGTCACTGAACAAAGTAATTAACCACGTATCTGCTTTACCGTATATGTCATTACTCTGCCTCATTCGGCATTAATTGCGAATTGAAATTCGTGTCAACTTCCAACGATTGCCAATTCGATGGAAAAACGTTGTGACAAACATAGAAGCCACCGGTTTTCCGTTTAGAATAACATCATCCAGTCCTCGAAGGGAAAATTATTGAAAAATTGTCGTGGCAGCGTACTACATGAATTCGTCGCTCGGGAAATATTCTGCTCTCGAGGAAATTTCATCTGACGCGACAGATATCGTCATGCACCTGACGTTTCTGTTTGTAATCCTAGTATCGATCCCAATGTCGTGTCGTTTCTATACAGAATTATGAACAATACCATAAGAGACACTACGGATTATTCGTTACAAAATTATGCAAGATTTCATAAAGTCAATTGGAATAAATTAACCGTGTAATTATTGTCGATTAGGTGTGGTATATAATAATTGGCTGATATTTCCGAAAGCAATTAAGTCTATGAAACGTGATATCGTGTCTGAAGAATGTTAAGTATGTTAATGTAAGAAAAATATAATTACATGATTCTACTAGATCGTATGGTGTGAAGAATGTCGACGTGGATGGCTGTTCCAGGACATCCTAATTAATTTATGTGATAGTAATTAGGTTGATAGTAATTAAGGAAACTTGAAAATATTGTACATAGTGTGGTTTAATTGCAAAATTATGAAGAGAAGCCAAAATTTCAATTTCCTTTTCCCAAAATTTCTATCGCAACAACTTCCACTGCTTCTACAATAACTTTCAACTCTCCGAGAAACCACATTACTTACAGGATGGCTCAAACGCTACAGACTTATGATTTAAAAAAGGCGTGACGTTTGGCGTGAAAGAACGTCGAAATTCTGCGAAATTCCAGGTTACACGAAATACATCTCGTGGCACGAATGTTTACTGTTAATTAAAGCCTTGAAATTCGAGGATCGCCGACTCCTGGATTAAAGCATAAATTTGATACGGTCACAGAAGCTGGTGCACGTTGTTTCTGTGGCGATTCGTTCGGATTACAATTTCGAAACGTTAAGAGGTAGAAATAGTCCCGAGTTTGAAATAAATCTGAATGTTAAGTCGTACTCTCGTAGGAATAATGTGGTAATCGATCGGTAAATTAATTCCAACTCTAACGACTACGATCCTGTTTTAATGCCGCGGCGTTTTACTCAGCGGCAACTAGTTGATTTCTTTCCGATGGATTTTTTACATTCCTCTGTTTAAATCGAAAGGATAGTAAGAATGATTTTATAGTGATTTAAATAATTGAAGATTACGGGAAAAATGTGATAAGTGCATTCTTGTTGATCTCATTATTTTTGTTTTACTTAATAATTAAGTAGAAAAGTGATATGATATAATTGAAAATAAAAAACTTGTTAGGCTTGAAGATGTAAGTCTAAAACTAGCTGATGAGTTGACGAATTACGTTGACGAATATAATGTAATTATACAGATCGTTTAATATTATCATAAGCAAAACATTGAAAATTTTAGAGAGTATGAAAAACTGCGTGATTGAAGCAACATATTACATATGTAGATGAATTCTCCAATTTTATACAATATACGATATTTGATTTCATATTTTGGACAAAACCCATGTCCTTGAAATTAAATTCCGTAATCATCTGATTAACAGTACGTTTTAGAAATATTAATTAAAATGTACAATTCAGACAGTAATACGTTATATTTTACAATAAGAAATATATATATTTATATATAAATATAGAGATATAAAAAATATAAAGCAATGAAGAAAAACGTATCCCAATATTTGATGAATGACAGGAAAATCAAAGAAAAAGACAATTTTGGTAGCATAGGATTGATCTAATAAATTTACTAGTTTAGTAGTACTAGTGAGTTTTAGAACTACTTCTTGATAAAAACATTCAAAATCCGATTTATCATATTTTTAAAGTACAATCACTTGGCGTCGCCATCAATACATTACTCGTCTAATTTCTTATGTGCCTATTAAAGTTGTTATAGCCGGTGCCAAATATGATAAGTATGCAAATGCATGAAAATGATGCATACAAATTGTATCATGGGATGTCTATCTTGTGGAACACCACTGTTGCTTTTCGAAATTTCCGCTGCAACGAAGACGTAATCGGATCATGAACCGAGTTGCCAATATACTTAATAGCTTTTCTGTTTCCATGGAACCTAGCTATGTTAATTTTCTTTAATTTTCGATAGCAGAACACACGTATCCAGGGGTTGTAGATGATGGAGTAGCTTCAACGCAGGAAATTAGAAATAATTAGTCAGACCTCTTTGGATAAACCGATTTAGTAACTCGACGTTTCTACTTTTGAGGATTATTTAACGAGACTATTCCTCTAGGGTTCTTTAAGATAATTAATTTCGCAGTTGGAGTTCCTTTATGCGATTAATCGTTCAGTGTTTTATATAAAAGATTGATAATAAAAAAGGATGGTAAGGAAAGAGAAGAAAATAGTAACACTTTTTTTCTTCTTTGGGGAAATGGGTTATAGTGTTTTCTTTTTGCTGTTAATATTAAAGTCAAGAGTATTTCGGCTCCCAGTGCTATTAACCCTTAGTGTACTAGGATAGTAGTGATCGATAACACTTACCTACAGGGATACTTAAAGAGCCACATGGTCCTTTTTAATAATGCATCATTTCTTATTATCGTATTTTTCTCATAAGAATGTTCTTGGAAGTCTTTTTGCTATGATAATTTTTATATGATTTTTATATCCACTTGTTATATCTGTGCATTTGTTTAAATAACGGTTGTAAAATCAACCTTTATTACTCTATCAAAGTCTCTCAAACGTATAGGATTTTACACTTCCGCTTGGATTCATTAATACGCCAACAACAATTCTTTTAAGCAGAGTGGATATTAGAATCCTTGACCGACTCCACATTTACTCCACGACATACTAATTATAATGTTTAATTAAGGACCAAGCAATGGTTTATCATAATTCAATTTCTTGAAATTTAGAATCTATTTAACATATCTTAAAATTTAGTAAAATTGTAGAATCAAGATGGAAAAGTAGTAGCAAAAAAAAAAAAGAAAGAAATGTTTTAAAAAAGCAGAATTTGGCAATGTATATTAATCGGAAAATATTACGGGGAGGTGTTGCGTTAATACAACGCTGGCCTTTAGTAGATTAATATCAGTCAATAATTTATGGTAATGAAAACTATCTTCTTAAATCTTCTTCTTGTAGCTTCCCCTTATATCTTTATTCTCAAAGTTGATGAATTAAAGTAATCATTCTAAAGTCAACAAAGTTCCTACGTGATTCTACACATGCATTAAGAATTATTCCTCTCAAACATTCACAACTCACGCAATCGTTTTACAATCTCCTATACGAATCCATGGTAACCGGTTGCAGCACCGTAATTGTAAGGTCGTATGATAGGTAGCTAGCCAGGCGTATATCAGTGGAATTGAAAATGTATCCAGTTCCAGAACGAACCTCGTGAAAGGAGCAACGAATAAAGATCTTCAAGGACGTGTTGTTTGTTGAGACAATCGTACGTCTCGATATCAATCATACACAATCGATACTGATCATCTATTCGTGTTTAAGTTCGAAGTGAATGTCGATATTGTCTAATTTTATTTTTTTGAAAATATTGTTAGTCCAAGGTTGCACTGATTCTTAATTTTCATCATATTAGTCGCGGCTTTAACCTTGACTAATTTTCGATTATATTTGAACAAGGAAACGTGTGTTTGTGGCTTTATTTCATGCTACTAGATAAGTTTATTTATAGTTTGAGATTTCTGCCGAGTTTTTATAGTTGGCCATATATGAAGGAAAATCGTTTTTGGAATTTTTCTTATGTACGTTGTATGAAAAGAGATTGTTTAGTTAGAGACGAGTTTGAATAATCCCTTTAATTTTTTATTAGAGTATAGTTTAAAAAATAGTACGGAAACAAACTTTTCAACCTTTTTTATTTTCATTGAATTGATTTTAATTTTATTGATTTTTATTTTTTGTTGATTGATAAGTTTAAAATATTTTATTTATTTCTATTATTAATTAAAATATAGTTAGAATATATTTTCTAAATGAATAGTTATTGTATTAAGTGAATAATAGCAAATAGATCCAGACTGTTAGTCATACATGCGAGCTAACCGGAGAACGCGATAGAACGTTGATAATGCAAACCTTTATTTAAATTATCTATTAATCGATTACAAATGAAAATATCCTACAGTTATGCAATTTTTCTTAAAATTCTAGTTTTTCCTGCAACCGCTAACCTTGAGATCACCATCTTGAGCTGCGTAAATCGTGTAACTTGTCTCAATCGTCCATGTGTCGATATAAATATTCATATTCAACGGTTTGAATGTTGCAATATCGAAACAGACATATGTACATTCCTCTTCTCGACATTTATCCTATCCTCGAGATTCCATATTAAAAATTGTTCGTAGCTGGATCGAATATTTTAGCATACTTTAAACATCCATTTCATGGAAATTTTATTGCTCTAATATCGATTCTGTTCTCCTAGTTTAATACAAATTTATTGTGTTTTATTCTTGACTTCTGAGTTGGTTGGAATACTAAATAGTATTTATGGTATTGCTCATGAAATTTTTATAAAAATTTTGTTAAACGAGTTATTTGTGTTTTAATGTCAATTCTGTTGTAATATATTATATTTGTTTATAATATTAATAGTTGTTGAATATACTGATTCTTAAATCAGTTTGAATACTAAATAAAATTCATAATATTGTTTGTGACATTCTAATACAAATTTTGTTAAGCAGCTTGCACTAAGAATCAATTTTAAGTCTTTGTTTTAGGTATAAAAAACAAAAACGACAGAGTTGAGGAAACTAATAAGATTTATATATACCAAAAATGACTTATAAAGCACTTCAACTATAGGAAAATATACATTATTTTTCAGCAAGTTAACAGAATCTTCCACAAAGTGGTGCCACAGTTGTTATACACGTTTCGTGCTTCTTTCAATAAACTTCATTTCTCTTCCTTCACCTGTGGTACATTTTTCAATGTCTGTACATCGTGCTTTTAACATTCCCCTCTTGATCTCTCTTATCAATCACTGAACGGGAAATTCCACTCCGAAAGCAATCATCAACCAACATCTTATTGAAAATACTTTGAAAAGGTGGGAAAAAGTATCATGTAAACGTCAAAGTGAAGAATGGTGTATTCATCTTGGTTAACTCTCTATCATTCCTCTGTATTCTTAAAGTTTCAGAACTGAAATGCTTTAATAGAATATTATAATTCGAGGATACTTTATTTTTGATACTTTCGAACCTCCAAATATTGATTCCAGTGTTTCGTTAAGTTATATAATAACTTATATTTACACGCATGTAAAAATATAAAAAGTATCCGAATAAGATTACGAAATAATATATCGACTCAATTATAAAAATGTCTAATAATTAATAAGATTTAAAAGGATCGTGCATAAAAAATGTTTATCCCATTTTCTTTACAAATAAATTGTAAAATAATATATACATAATAAAGTGGAAAATAAATAATTTCTACGTTTATTTTATATTTTAAAATAAAATACAGTCAACGAAGTTGGCATAGTTCCCAAATTAACATATCTATCTTTGACCTTTTAATCCTTTAATAAAACCTTAAATCTTAATAAAAGTAAAATCATAAACCCGTAATTTCTTGACGTAATACCTCTGATGGACAAGTTAAACTGTTGTGCGTAAGGTACTAATATCATCATAATGATAGAGTGTGACGTGTGTAGTCATACTAATGTCGGATGGAACTTACCTCATAATGAGAGTCACTCGATCATTCACTAAGATAAATTTACTCCTTCGCCATTCATACTAAACATCGCTGCGTCAATAACTTATACTACCCTTCGTGTCTCGATGCATAGCTATATAACGTATAGCCCGTCAATGGAACGTAAACAGGTTGGTTATCTTGCAGGTTAAATCCATTTCATCATGCCAGTGTGTCATTATCGATAGATAATAGGAAGCTATTGGTCGATAAAATTTACCTTGTCTACGAGACAGGGATGATTGGTCCCGCCTCCATTTATAAACTTCAAATGTAAGATAGATATTTACTCCATTTTACTTTGAGTGCTTTATGAGAGAAAAGTCTGTAATATTTTTGTATTAAAAATATTCTAGAAAATAGTATTTAATCATTTTTTAAATTATTAAGGGAACTGAATAAACTCTGCTTTTCATGGGAACCATTATAGTGCGTTATGTATATTTCAAATTATATAGTTCAAAGGAATCGTTGAACAGAGAAGTAAAATTAGAAATCTTGGAGAATAGTACATTCACAAATTTACATACTTATTCACTGCTTAAATCTTCTTTCTACTGGAATTTTTAATAAATTTTCATACAGACAGACTTTCAAACTGTAATTAATTAGAAAAGTTCTGTTTCTCGCTACAAAAATGTTCACATTTATAACTATAAAATATAAAAGAGCTATTATATAAAGGAATAATATTACATGCAAATATAAAAGAGATTTTATTTAAACTTTCATTAAAGAAAACTTCTGTGTTTGAAATTGCTCAGAGATTACTTTCTCCAATTTGAAACTTTCGTATTACGAAAATTAGATTAATTCTGTTTCTCACTACATTACAAAAGTATCATCTACAGCCATAAGAAACTTATCTAACACAAAAGTGAAATTGAATATTAAATATTCTATCGTTCTTTGAATGAGGATAATTTGCGAACTAAAAGATTTTCAACCTCCAGACTGTTATCTGTCATAATAAAATAATTCTATTTTTAAACTCTGTTCGTCTCGTACCAACAAAAGATATAACAAGTTGGCCAAATATCTTCAATACCACAGAATAAATATTATCCGAAATGAATACAAATGGAAAAAAATTATGATGAAATTTATGCACGTGTTCTTTAATACAAGAAGCACGATTGCGCTCGTCGAAGCTCGTAAACTGCGTTAGAACGATTGTAACTTTTTGTTGCAGGCGCCCCAATAAAGGAAACTCACTTTACAAGAAACAACAATTATGAGATCGAAGTTACTTCCCGACCTACCTAATCATTCGTTCGTGATTTTGTGAATATCGCTCGAAGATCGTTACCCAATGATCAGAGCTAGACCATTGTGTAATACATAATCGTTCGAAGAGGACCATTGATAACGTCGGACCTTCGCAGTGATATCGCGGTAATATTTCAGTCAAGCTGCCAATAAATTTCATCACTCGCCGTCTGATCGTCGGTGTATCGGTCGATACGTGCCGTTTGCTTGTGGAAGACACATTTTTATGCGGCGTCGCGCGAACGTCGAACGTGATCCTAAAAACGTGTTCAACGCCAGACATTGGCGGAAGGATTTGTCGCGATCGTAATTAAAATCGCGGGAGAAACGTGAAACGAATCATGTCGTTGGATAAAACGGACACGACAGGACAATTTGTGAAAGTACGATCGGAGAGGACTGGCTTTAAACCTATTGAACGATGGCGTATCACGAGGAACGTTCTGATAATTGGAATCGCGTTTATGGTGAACTTCACGGCATTCATGGGGGCGACGAATTTACAGAGTTCGATTAATGCCAATGGATCGTTGGGTACCTTCACGCTGGCGTCAATTTATGGCAGTCTGATCTTCAGCAATATCTTTCTGCCGACTCTGATTATAAGGTAATGTAGTTCCTTATTTTTTTGATAATCAATTATTACAGGGGATGCTTTTAATAACTGAATATTATAATATATTACATTGATCAATTCCAAATATGTACAATGATTTATATTAATATTCGAACACTATAGAATGCGGGATATTATTATTGTATGCATTCGTTTATAATAGTTAACTAGTTAATTTATTTTTAATATATTAAAACAAATATCGAAGTTGGCAAAAGCATACGTTTTAATATATTATGTACTGTATATACTTTTTAAATGAACAGCAATAAGTTAAATAATGCTTAAGTTTCATGGAATGTCCGAATATTAATTGTGAATCACTGTACGTATACTAAGAAAAAGAGAAAAGATGATCGCGGATTTTTATGCATTTATAGGAAATTTGAAGTAATGTACAGCATGCACATAATGTAAAGAAATATATATATGTCGGGTTCACATTATGATTAGGGGTAGGGGCGTGAAACGAATCTTCATTTGGATTAGACATTGTTGTTATGCAATAGAGAAGATATTTACTAATACAAATATGATTATTACAGAATTTGACAAGTAACCGTGGTAATTAGATACTCGAGATGCTAATGTAGTATCGTGCCTACTTTAATTAGTTTATTAATGATAAGTAGATTGAATAGGTGTTAATTGAACAGAAAATAATGTTCGTTAAACATGAACTAATCGCAGCAAACGTATAATAATCAACACAACTAAGTAATTAATCAACGACTCTCATCAATCTCATCAACGCAATCTGCACTCTTTGACATCTCAACTTGTACTGTTGTTAATTCGTTTATTGTCCCCTAGCAACCCCTTGTCTTTTGTCTTAGCCAGGCACCTCATCCATGATACTACACTAATGGCAATGATCTTAGGTTCGATAATGAATCCGCGGTCAACGGAATAACAAAATGCACTTTCTTCCAAAGTCCAAGCTATACTCATCTTCCTTGTCTACGGTACAAGTATTACTAAACTAAATCTTTGTTAAGACGCTATGTAATTCGCTAATGAGACTTCACGAGTGAATGTCTTTCCGTCACGATGATGCTGCAGAGGAAAACTATGATGGGGTGTGTCTAAGGACACGAGATCATCGGATTCGTCGAGGAAAGCCTCCGTTCGGAAAGTGAGAGAAATGGACGTTGCTGTTAATTGGTTAATTTCTATGTTGGTGGTTAGAGAGGTTGCTAGCCGCCCTTGAGAGAAAGTTGCTAGCGGGAAGCATCGTTCGTGAGAAAACAGATTTCCCGTGTCTTCTCGTAGTAGGTGGTGATTTAGGGACTGTTAGAATAAAGACTGTTTGTCCGTTTAAAGGACCTTAGTGAACAAAATCCTAAGATTTATAGCGGGTCCTCAGGCTAGCTGAACATGTACTGTAAAGATTTTTTTTTATTTACAAGTACTTTACAATCAATTCTCGCATTGAGAATTTTGACGCGTGAGTTTCCTGGAAGCCTTCCATAGTGAGTAGTTGGAGTCAGCTGTGGGAGACAGATTGGCGAGATATTTTTGGAAACAGTCATTTTTATAATTTTTAATAATTTTGGTTAGATTCCTAGTTGCGTTATTTAGTTTGCGTTTGTCGTCAGGTGTTCTATGGGTCTGCCATACTCTTCTAAGTCTACGTTTTTCTGCGATTTTTTTTAATATGTAATGTGTTATTGACGATACTGTGTCTGAGAAAAGCTAGGGGCCACGTTCAGCGACTGGCTGTCGTCTCGAGCCCAAGCTCATTATCACAAATCTTGAACAAATACAATCGGATTGAATTACGAAAAATTGCTTAATTACGACTATGGTAGAATCTGGATTAAAGTGTTAAGGGATTTTCCCAAAATTTCAAAGGGAAGACTCCATTGTCCTTTCATCTCCGACATATATATACAGGGTGGTTGGTAACTGGTGGTACAAGCGGAAAGAGGGTGATTCTACGCGAAAAAAGAAGTCGAAAATATAGAATAAAAATTTTTGTTTAATTTTTTTTTTTTTCTTTTTAATTTTTCCATCGAGACAACGATCTACAGTGAGATCCGTTATAACGAGACGCGATAAAGTGCACGCGTACCGAGCGAAAATTCAAAGTCGATTTTCTCGAAAACAAAGCCTCAAACAAAAAATTTTTATTCTATATTTTCGACTTCTTTTTTCGCGTAGAATCGCCCCCTTTCCGCTTGTACCGCCAGTTATCAACCACCCTGTATATAGAGTATACAAAGTAAATCACTTACAATATTTAGTGAATGAAAGAAATATCTTCCTATTTGAGAATAAACGTCTGTCAAAACATCCACAATTTAATGAAAAGTCACGATTATTCATCTTTCGTTTGTGCGTCAATCAAAGATGTATATGATCTTCTTTTATATCCTTTATATATATCGTGGAATTAAATGCAGGATCTAATAGATAGATTTATTTACAGATCATTTATTAAATCGCAAGATTAAAGCATAATCAAAATTTGTCGAACACTTGAGAATAATTATTTGGAATCCTTTTGTGATTACGAGAAAGAAAGTATATTTAATAATTGTTAGAAGACCACAGAGGAAAAATTTAAGTCATATTTTCTATTTTTTAAAAAAGAGTAATTTGATACTCAAGAACGTCTTTAATTACTCTCATATTATCAAACTTAGGATTTTATTTAATTTCGGGATAAAATATGTGATTTATGATGCTTAAGAACATTTCGAAAACATTATCATATATTATAATGTCAATTCTGCTGTCGACTTCTAGAAAATTTCGTAAATTTATCGTGTAATTTTGAAAGCAATATATTTCAAAATGTAGCAGCCCATTTGTCATTTCCAATATATACATATATTATACGATATATACATATCAATCACCAAGTGATGTTCAAATTAAAAAATTTGCGGGAGTATGATTTTTCCTGCATCTAATAATTAATTAAAACCTCAGTGAAAAATCATCTGAAATAATTCAGTATAGATTACAGATTGACAATAAAAAATCTACAAAGATATGTATGTCACAGATACTACAATTTTCAAATTTATTGGAAACTTTTAGTAGAAATTATCTTGGAAAACTCGATAAAAATCTCAGATCGGCACTAGAAAATTTACAAAGATCTCTTTCATTCTACGCAGAATATTCCATCATAATTCCCAAGAACGAAACCATTCTTAACCCACTTTGAAGACAGTTTTGTAACTAAATCTCCAACAGATACCAGGATTCTCTCAACATTTAAAGTTTCTTCGACAGAAGACTTTAAATCAATAAAGGCGTCTATGTAGAAACCTAATCCAAACCGTGACATAATTAAAAATTATCGATCAACGAAGTTGCAAGAAGATATAGCACCGTCTCAAATTCAATCTCGTAATTTTTCGCGACAATAACAATTTCTAATAACAACGTCGAAGGGTCGTGAAACATTCATCAGATGTTCCATTACGGTGACTGTAATTTCATAACCGAATTTGGTGAATTATATAAAGTAGCTTGAATTGTATCACTTTTGAAACAGAATAGATGCGTGTGTCTTAGCGTTACAGCATATTTAAGAGACATTGCGAATAGTAGCGGCGTTGTTCCGCTTTTCACCTCGGCATTGTCCGAGCGCACATAACTCATTTACTTTAAAAGGATCAAGAGTCGCGACTAAAGGGCGTTCATTCTTTGTGTTTTCTAATGTGCCGCATTGTATTGCGTTTGCAGGCTCGAGTAAACTAGTAGAATCGTGTAAAATGAAATTGCGTGCGTCGCTAATTCGTAAACTAGGAAAAGAAGTGGTTTATATTCCTTCCTTTTCTTCTCATTTTATGAGAGAAAAAATGGAGAAATTGTGTCCAGACTGGAATTCGTGTCCGATGATTTTGAAAGCTCAGAAGAATTCAAGAATCTTGTCGTCGATTGCGATTTACGAGTCGCCGACAATTTTCTTCGTGAGACTGCTTCCGGTTATACAGCATGGAAGTAGTAAAGTTTATTATCGAATTTTATCGCCCATGAAATTCTCACCCTTACTCAGTATCACCATCTATCTTCAGAATCGCTTCCGGTAATCTGGCTTGTGCGCCAAAAATGTATGTTTTAATATTCCTATCAATTTTTCTTTCAGTATTAAGTAAAGTGTGTAGAGTAAAGAATAAAAGTGTTTATAGCCATCAATCATTCTTGTAAAATCTTTGTGAATTTAAAAAATTTTTAAAAGGCATCTTTTATTTAATTCTTCTCGTAATATATACAAAATTATTAATGTATGAGCCACTCAAAAACCAAACTAATCAACTCCATTTTTGTTAATTTCTTGATTTCGTTAATCGAATACGCCATTAATGTTCAATTTCCAAGAAACAAATGATTTAATTTCTGAGGTTTCATCTATTGCAAACAGATGAGACAAATAATAGGAAATTTTAAGGTAATTTTGAAAAATTACGTTTATAACATCACCTTTCTGCACTTCTGAATGACTCGTATATCAAAAAGATAACTAAAAAATATAACATGTTGTTTGTCATTGCAACCATGTCATGTTAATATGATCCCTTACAGTCAACAAGCGATATCCATCCAAATAAAAAAATCAACAGAGATAGACTTGTTATCAAGCTTTTTCTTTCTGATCTTCGATTTTGTATCTTTTGCGTCATATCTGTGGTAAACGTCAAATACGTACCTCGGATTAACTTTTAACCCTATTTGACAATCCGATACTCCAGCGCGTTTATTTATTGTTATATGATAAAAGAAGAAGTCAGTTACCTATGCAATGAACAAAGAGATGAAATATACTGCTCTTCAAGATTTTGCCACCTTGTTAATGAACCAATTAATTTTATAAATCTTCGCAAACATTCCATGAAAGCTTGAAAAACGTAAACTGGTTGAGATACATTTTTAACTTTCAAATTAGTTATAGTATAGAATTATGTAAATATGTAAATATGTAAATTATAATTGTAAATTCTAAATTAAAAGTGGTACTAGTGGACTGCATATATTTTTAAGATCATTTACGAAAACTTTAAAGACAAATATATGTAAAGTGCAAAAATTTATTTTTTGTTTATTTAATGTATTCACTACAATAATGCAATTGATAAAACAAATTTCTATTGAATTATATTTATAAAACTATGACTTTGCATAAACATCTGCAATCTGACAAGCTTGTACAGTAGAATTCCGTTTGCCTCATCAAGAATACAAACAAATTTATACTCCAGTGATTCGTATAATACGAATTCACTCCTCCTCATTTCATGATTTCTGGTTTAAATAATAGTTCACATTGGGATAAGAGAGTAATTTAATTTAATGCATGCAGAAATTCACTTAATCAGGCAGTAACTAAATTTTCCGTGTCAGTAGACGTAGTTCAGTTAAATGGAATTCCACCGTACCATTCTGTCGAACTTTCTACGTGGTCCAACTTGTTAAACTGAACACACTACTCGAGTACTTTGAAACACGAAAACGTTACAAAGAACATTTGATAACCTGAGAGGTTGAAAGCACAGTAGACAAACGTAGAAACAATCTTATCCCTGCTTCGTATCTCATTACAGCTGGCTGGGCTGTAAATGGACCATATCATTGTCCATTCTGACTTACGTGCCGTTTATGGCTGCACAATTCTACCCAAAATTCTACACCATGATACCAGCTGGGTTGATGGTTGGTATCGGTGCAGGGCCACTCTGGTGCGCCAAATGCACTTATTTAACGGTCGTCGCAGAAGCATACACCACTCTATCGAATGTAGCCCAGGATGTCCTCGTCACGAGATTCTTCGGCCTGTTTTTCATGTTTTACCAGATGGCACAAGTCTGGGGGAATCTTATATCTTCGGCAGGTGCGTATAATTGTAATGTTTCTTGGCAAGAGGCAAAATTTGAATCTGCGCCTTTACGCGCCAAGTTGCTCGACGTTGAAGACCGAGAGATAAAACAAGAACGTTTTCCACATAAACCATAGAATGTGTATGCATGAAACGGCTGAAGAGCGTATTCAAACTCTCCTAAAAAGTTTTTACATATGTATGCGTCATACAAAATATTTTAAAATGTCACTAGTAGCATGTACGCTAAGTATAGCAAATGAGAAACGACTATCGTGATTGTACATATTGGTAAAATTTGAACTTGATTTGAAAATGTATACAGAAGTTAGAATATATTTATTGGAAGCATACACTTTTGCAAAGATCACTGAGATGTTTGAACAGTCAATTTATTATTCACTGAACTAGCCACACATTAACTAGCCACAATATATAACCATTTTTAGTACTAATTATAAGTTTGTAACTATTATGCTGTATACTAATTTATTCGTTAAATGTATGTTCGCAATAAATATCTTGTAACTTATAGGTATATATATTTTCGGATCGACTTCAAATGTAACTGTCATAATCTCGATAGTAGCGTCTCATTAAAGTGCTAACGAAATATTAAAAGGTTTTGTGTGATGCACATAATATATTCATAAAAAATTATAAAGTAACTGTTCGAATACTTTTGTGAGCCACTATACATAAATAAAATATTCAAGATGATATATGTATTCACTACAATGATGTAATGGATAAAATAAATTTCTATTGAATGATATTTATAAAAATACGAATTTGTATAAACATACGCGATCTAATAAACTTCTACAATAGAACTCATACATGTGATACACATGAAAATATGGAAGGTTTGGTAGAGTAATAGTTTTCTGCAAGAGCAATTTTTTTGTTTTACAGGAATATTGATATGTTTAATCATTTTCATCAAATCATTTTATGTTTATTGTATTAATAATTCCTATCATATTCCTATTATAATATTTACAGCCCTTCGAGTTTCAATCGTGTTTTCATTAGCATGTCACGCAGTGTTCCGACGTTTCATGAACATTCCTTCTCATTTCTTCAGGGCAAGCTTCAAAAATTTTGCGAAACAAAGAATTACAAACATGTCATTTAATCTATTATTTTGTATCAGATTCGAAAAATTCTTTCGAAGTTTCATATACGTAAATATCTAATAATCTAATAATAATAATAATAATGGACTTCTATGATGCCATTTATGATGGTTTAAATTGGAGCGAAGAGCATTCATAGGAAAAGTTTTATTTCGCTTAAGGGATGTCATTAGCGACTCTAAGCCCTTCTGGTTGGCCACGGAAACGCTTTGACATAAAGGCAGATGTAATTTTTTTCTTTTCTTCGCTACTAACGCCAGCAGCCCATCAGTTCATACATGCGTTCCCCCTTCGAACGTTCGTTACGTGCAAAAAAATAAAGTAACTTTAATTGCAGTGAAATTTGCTATAACAGAAAACGGCGTTCGACCGTTCAAATTCGAAACTGAACTTTAATTCGCAACTTCACCAACGGGTTAAAACGATAGAGCTATTCAGATATGAGCAATAAAACAGCGAAACAAAATAAACGTAAAGCTTTCTGATTCTCTTTCGTGTGAAAGAAAAAAAGGAAGGAAAGAACTGAGCTAGATTTTAATACTGATTGATTGGCCAAGCTGCCTGTTTGTAATGTTACATTTTGCTCATGTTACTTATGTTCTTTTTTGAACGGAACAAGCTGTGAATCGCAAGAGTAACGTGTCACGTGCATCGTATAATGTCGTCGATAAAACCATTTGCTTAAAAGCGATTTGAAGCTGAACCCGTTGAGCTGAAGATTATTTCGAATCTCCATTTTGCGACGCATACGCCAGAGAACAGCTTGAATTAATCTGCGAGAGCTTGCGCTAAAATTTGTCATTGCCTTCAGACGATCGAACGTTGTTCTAGCATATGATCGGTTGTCTTCTGACACGTTTTTCAATTTCAGAGAGTTTTTGTGCATTCAAGTACTTTTAGAAAATTATTTTTTGGCGAAATGGACACGTGAATTGCTGATTTCAAAGTCAAAATGTTTGGAATCTTCCTTAATATCTCTCTCTCAATATAAGCACATATTAATAAATATATATTATTATAACATAATAATATATAATATAATATATTAAAATGTAATAAAATTATATATTATAATATATTATAAATAATAAATATTATATAATATAATAAAGTATCAAAATATAATATAATATACAATATAATAAATATTAAAAAATAGTGTGAAAACGTTTACTTTGTTTTATAAATTGCTTGGATAGTTCATCTTATAATTTTGTAAAGGAAATTCAAATTCTGAATTATGATGTAATATTCTAACGGAATATAATACACTAATATAACAGGTTATATTCATTAAGTGCGTATTTGAAAATGTCATTGTTTCTTATACATGTATATTTTAAAGCAAGATACACAGACACAATCCAACGTTGCGATTTTTGCACTAGAACTACGATTCCCTTGGAATCCGTTTGTCATCCTTATCTTTTTGGATCTGCATTCAACTCACTGGCAACTTCGACTGAAGAAATTCCTTCTGCGGAATGTTCCTTTATTCTTTTCAAAGAATTGTAACATAGCGTGGTTGGTAACGAGAGACCGAATTTATTCTTTCTATCTTATATAAGAAATAAAAAATCAATAAAATTCAATAAAGACAGAAATCCAAAACCTAGTAACGTAAGAGTTAATCACAGTTTGATTGATTAATAACAATTCTAAGATCGCAGAAGTCGCAGAAGTTCCAACACAGAGCGTGAACTGCACCATATAAATATTATACAGAAAACAAAGTTTCTAAGTAAATCAAAGTCAACCTGGATACTAGTTTATACCAGAACTTGACAGCCGATATTCGATAACTTTATTTGAACAGATGTAACACGTCGAGAATTTTATTATTTTCTTTTATTTCTCACAATCGTAAAACCAACAAATAAATGATCGAACGTATAGAAGCGTCGAAAAGCAACTTGCGAGTTCTCTTTTCAGTGACAGAGAACGTATATTGGTTCGCTTCTCGTTCGAGTCCCACGGGAGGATCAGGCTTATTCACGAGCCTTCCAATTTGATGCCCGGAAATTCAAGGATACCTGAAAGTTTTAACGTTTCGTCCGATACAAAGGCACGCGAAACCCCGGACAAGCTACACACTATGTCCTAAAGACGAAGAAATAAGAATTGGCGCATGAACGTATTCCAACACTTGTTGGAACCTTTTACAAATACATTATGTGCGCTATGCAAACATTTGAAATTTTCATTATTTGATCGTATTGGTAAAGTTTGGAACGAATCTGGAAATGTGGGTGAAAGCCACAAAATATTTATTACAATTACATATTTTATATAGATCACACAATTATTTAAACAGACAATTATCCGTTATATTAATAAGACTCGATATTTAATGAGACCATTTTTATATTATATTCATACTAAATATCTGCCGAATTGCAGGTATACTAATATCTTTAAATTAGAAAATCTGAAAAAAATTGTAGAAATCTTGTAACTTCCATATACATTTTTCAAAATTTAAACAATTTGGTTCCAAATTTAAACAATATAATCATGACAATCCTGTATCAGTACATTGCTAACGAAATTTCAAAATGTTTTATATAACACATACAATATGTACAATATAAAAGTTTTCTATAAATATTTATGACAGCCATCTGCAGTAAATATCTTGTAATTTCTATGTACATTTCCAGATTGTTTTCAACTTTAACTCTGTTTAATATAATCGTGACAATCGTGCGTCACTAATAGACTGTTGATTTTTATGTATTTTTAGCAAATTTTAAGGTGCAGAAATGCACACGTTGCATATAATATACAAAAATGAAATATTCATGTATATATATATGAGTATGAATATAACATGAATATAATATGAAATGTTCAAAGTATTTTAATATTTAACAGATGAAGCAAATTCCTATTCAGGTTCCATATCTTGAATTATATTCATAAAAATGTGAAAATCCATCAAAATTCGCGATTTTCTCATTAAAGTGGTGACGAAGTTTCAGAATATTTTACATAATATACAGAATGTATGCAAAAATTTCTGTACGTAAAAAGAAAAAAATGTGCAAGAATCGTATAACAAATTCCGAATGTTTTATGGAACTTCGAAAAAAGCTGGATGAGTTCTCGTTAGGAAGAATCAAAGGTGCAATGGAAAATGGGTCAGTGTTCTTTCGTGTCCAAGAACGTCGAAGTTTTCCGGCGAGTTAAAACATGGCTTATCAACTTACAAAAAGGAAAGATCGAAAGAAACGTTACTGAATCCTTCGTGTTTGCGGGATGCAGATTCCAAGGTCATAATTCTAATATCGTAAAACGATTGTCGTCTAAAAATGTTTTCCGTAACTCGTGTGGAAAGAACAAACTCGTGATCGTGGAAAACTTTCATTAGGAATGTGGGGAATGGTTAAAACCGATTAATTTTTAAGTATCCTCTAGGGATTTACGCGTTTGCAAGCTTGATTACTGCTGACCGTGAACAAGACTGGAGATCTGAATTTTTTCGAAACCAACTCCAGAATTAATCCTGATCGCGGATCTCTTGGAGAATGTACTAAAATCAATTGATCTGAATTAGATTATGTCTAATGGAAAATTAATTAAATAATTTAGAATGAAATTCGTATGACTTAAAATTACAATTTTGAGAATACATTGAAATTGTATAATAATTATTATATAAATGATAAGAGAATACTTGCGTTGCTATTATGTCATAAATTTTTGTTATTTGATAGTGTGAAATATAATTCTTAGAAATGTTAGAAAGTTATTCTATTGATGGGCAATTTATCATTTATGTATTTTTGACATTTTCAAATGTAATATATCACGATTTAACGTATTTTTCCCATTGTTTTCACAGTCCTTTCATATGGAATCGACACGGTGCCAACGAATATTACACTGAATAGTAGCATTGTGGCGGAGGCGTGTGGTGCCAAATTTTGCGGTGCAACTTCCGATACCGACGACAGTCCGAATTTGGAACGACCTCCAGAGGAAAGAATTCATCTAATCTGCGGCATCTATTTGGGCTGTATGATAGTCGCTTCATTGATTGTGATGTTTGGAGTTGACTCGCTCTCGAGGTAACAATAAAATTATGTTTGCTCATTATCCGTTTCATGATCCCTGTTAATTATTAAGATAAACGTAATACAATTCTAACTAGTTACCATTTATATACTAATAAAATTTTTAAGTTCTAAAATTTTTAAAGACTTAAATTTTCAAATGACAAATTTACAAATTTTGGAGGATTCGACTTTTCAAATTCCAAACTTTCTAAATTTCCAAATTTTCAAGACCAAAAATTTCCGGATCTGCATACTGATAACTTTCTAAACCAAAAATAATTCGACTTTTTTAAATTTCAAATCGCCAAATTTTGGAACCGTGTAAACTTCTACGTGTATCAGATTTCAAGTTTACCATCTCAGACGTTTCACGAAACAACTGCAACAGATCTAAATTATTTAAACCTCATAAAAAAAATACTGAAAACCGATACTCCGGTCGCGTATGAAGTTTCAATATCTCTGTACGTAAATATAATATGTATCTTCTTTTACTTATGAAAAAATAATCTATCTTACTAAATGTCTGTAGAATATTACCTATAATATTTATAGAATAATTAAATAATTTAAATTTCAAATCTAAATTTAATATTCAATTTTATATTAATAATTCTAAATTTTAGAAAATTTCTGAATATATTACAAGTAATAATACTAATTTAATTTAGCTTTGAATATAATAATAAAAAAGAATTGTATATACATTTATATCACATACGCGTTAGGCGTCAATTAACAATAAGATACAAAAATTAACATACATACATGAACGCCAAGAGAAGGAAAAGTAATTCACGATCGAACTTACAATTGGAGTGCAATGTATTGTTCGGATTGTCATAAATTACGTCTATCCTGACGTATTCGGGAATCTGAAATTGATAGCACATTAAGCTGCGGCAGAAGCGCAATATTGTTTCCGTTTGAAAAATTACTGCTGCTAACTTCAACGATTAATCGAAGCTAACGCCTGCTGCAACGTGAGCATTCAAAATTTAAGCTTGCGAGATTTTTCACGATGAAAAAAAAACCATTCACATTGGTTTGATTCTTCATTATATGGCGATTCGTCACAAATATGGTTTAAAAAATAAAGAAAATAGAAATATTTATCTCGTATGTCTTTTGCATTTATTGGTATTGCTGTTCGATTTTAACTGATTTAAAAGGATAATTTCCTTCAATTTTTCGTTACTCAGATTGAAGTTTTTCTCTTGCTATTTTAAATGAATATTTTGCGCACAGTTAAGATATCATTAGTACTTTATTACGAGATAACTTTGTCTTTAAATTTACTCTCTGAAATGTAGTTTAATTAAAAACATCGTGGTACTGTAACTTTCAATTTAAAGCACAATAAGATATTGCTATTTTGTAAAGAAACAATTTTCTATTTAAAGATATCTTTTAAAACATAAATATTTAATTAAGAATCAAGAATTAACTATAAAAACATATAAAACCATATTACTCATAGGTATGACAGAGGTAGATCAGGATCAGCGACAGGCCAGTCAGGATTCAAATTGTTGGCTGTGACACTGAAACTATTGAAGGAGAAAAACCAGATCCTTATACTGCCAATAATAATATTCATTGGAGCGGAGCAAGCATTCTTATTCGCTGATTACAATGCTGTAAGTCCTCCAAGTCCTATTATGTCTTGCTTAGAAATTTTTTAATACATTCCATTAATTTTTTTCAGTCATTTGTCTCATGTGCATGGGGAATCAACAATATCGGTTATGTAATGATCTGTTTCGGTGTGACGAACGCTATAGCTGCTTTAGGTACAGGATCTATAATGAAACTAACAGGAAGAAGACCTTTGATGATATTAGCTTTTTGTATTCACATGGGAATTTTTACTTTCCTGTTGCGTTGGAAACCCACTCCTGATCAAAATCAAATATTCTTTTTGATGTCTGGATTATGGGGTCTTTGTGACGCTATGTGGCTGGTACAAATAAACGGTGAGCACTAAATAATTGCTAAAGTTTATCCTTCTTTGAAAATATATATTTTCAAAATATATTCGTATTTTTTATCTTCATCATTTATCGGTAAAAAGAATTGCATTATATGATGATACTAGCTGTTGATTAAGCAAAATTCGTACTGAACATTTGATAGTAGTATATAATACTCTCTACATTATCGACTGGAGGAAATATTAATTCCTTCTAAATCCATATAAAAATATTTCTATAATCTTTTTATAAATTTGACACTATTTTGCAGTTCCATACAATATTCATAAAATAGAATGCTATTATTTTTATCCTCTGTTAATATTTGATTATTTGCCATCATCTTAAGATTATCTAATCAATCATGAAAACTGTTTTCTCGTCTTTAATTAATTAGAACCAAAATATCTTTGCAACTTCCAGCTCTGTCAGGTTTGCTGTTCCCAGGCAAAGAAGAAGCCGCTTTTTCGAACTTCCGACTGTGGGAGTCCACAGGTTCTGTGATCACATACGTGTACAGTCCTTACCTCTGCACTCAAACGAAGCTGTACTGTCTAATAGCAATCCTCTGTCTTGGAATGATTGGTTACGGTATAATCGAGTGGATTGGGAAAGCCGATAGATCGGTTCCAGAATCGAAACCAGATTTCGAATTGGTGACAAATGGCGAATTGAACGACACGACGAAACTTTGAGTTGACAAGAATAAAATTAATGAATCCTTTCAATTAGAAATATGATCTCTTGTCAGACGTTGCTCTGTATGAACCTCAGTTTTGTTAGTTAGTTTAAAACAATAATTCTCAGGTATAAATGCTTCGTCATGATGTGACTAGAAAATTACAGGAGTTTTGTTGATATGTAAAATTATTTTATAATCGAGTCATTGTGTTAAAGAGAGGGCGATGAATTAAAGAAGAAACAAAAGGAGCTGATTTTACTAGCGATAATTCTTCGGATTATTTTGAAAACGCTCGACAATAGGATTATCGGTGTGAATAATATTATAATTGCGGTATACATATCGTATATATAGAAATCATACACAAATCAGATCGGCATATAAAAAATTATATGTACAAGAAAGAGTTCGGTTGGAGGCGCAGTCAGGACCTTGAAGGTACGATCTTTTGTGTGATTTGTACCATAATATATGTTTTTATTTTATTCTTGTGGACACCTACTAGATTTTACACAGATAGTTCGCTTAACCGCTAAAGATTCTTTTCTCCGTCTCTTCTTCATGTTTTTTTCCTTTTTTTTCTTGTCTCTTTAAATACGTAGTTTAATGTTACATCGTGTGTCTAGGTGCTAACATTCAAGCTAAAGCTACGGCTGCTTAATTTAATTGTATACTTAATGTGCTTAATTTCCTTTTCACTGTACGCGTGATGTGTCTCATGTATGTGGTATCTCTGTATATTATGTATGTATACATGTATATATGTGTTCGTAAATGTAATAAAGTATGTTATGTCAGATTGTATGTATAATATGTATCTGTGCGAGTGTCCATCTGTATGTATGTATGTATGTATGTATGTATGTATGCATGTATGTATGTATGTATTAACGCGTTTTCCTCTCTCGTAGTATGTTCCGCTTTATGCTCATCGTTTATTGTGCTGTCACGATCAATTGTCCCCCGTCTCTTTTAAATTGCGAAGGCGATGGTATATTACAAGATTATTTGCCGCTTGATGTATATCGCGTGGCCCGTTACGCGGATCTTCTTGAATTTGTCTGAATTTCGTATTAATAAATAATAAACGAATCGCGACGTGGAATCAATTGACCTTGCATCCCTCGTCTGTTTGCGTCGTTCGATTGCTGATTGTATTTGTGGATCGTGTGCTAGCTTAACCCTCGTTTATGTACAATTCAAGTTTTGCAGTTCAGTTATATACTTTATAAAACGTAGTAGGAACTTTGGTTTCGCTGGGCAATGTTTCAAGAGCAGTTTCCTCTTTTTGTTCGTGCCACGAACTTATCTTCCTTTTCATTTTTTTTGTTTTTTTCTTGTTTTTTTAGTTTACTGTCATTTATTTTTCATCTTCGATTATTTAGTATTTTCCATCATTTTTTTCTGTTTCTTTAAATTATTTTCTATTTGTTCTTTCGTTCTGAAAACACATAATTTCGTTATTTTATTCGTCAAGCGTAGCAATGCGTGTATTTTCATCTCTGGATACAACCTGAATGAGAAAATTCGGCCGGAAACTGCTATAAAACATTCGCCCGTGGATCTATCTTCCTTAGAAATATGACACTCACGAATACAGTTCACGTTTTTTTTTCTTTAATACTCATGTTTATATTTCCGTAATGACCTATTGAATATCAATTTTTTTTTTCACGAAGAAAATACACATGATTCGTAAATTTGTTTTCTCTCTCTCGTTAGCAGTATCTCTTTTGTTCACACTCTCCCTCACTCGTTCGTAGTTTTTTTTCTTATTTATTCTCTCGTCAACATCCACCGCGCCATTCTCCCCCGTTAGTTTTTTTTCCTCGTATAACAAAATTTAATAACCGGAATATCTCTGTACAAACGTTTTCATTCTTTTCTCTCTCTCTCTCTCTTTTTGTTCCACCCCACTCCGTCCCTTTCTTTTATCAAACAGAATAACATACACGCCCCCCCCCCTATCCCGTAATCAAAATTTTGAATTTTGAATTATCCCCATATAACTCCACTCTTAACCGTATACCATCCCATCATTTTCTTCTTATAATACATTTCCCTGTCTCCTTTACACCGCAAATCTTTCTTTCTCTTTTTTTTCTTATTCAGTTTTCTGTATCTTCTATTACCTCCATTTTTATGTGCTTCGTTTAGGAACAGATCACTTTGCTCGTATCTTTAATGGTATCCTAGAGAGTAAAATATCTTAAACGTACGCGTTTGTCCTTACAAATTTAGTTTTCATTTTTTTACCCCCCTCCCCCAACCCTAACGTAATTTTTTATTTTCTCGTCGATAACGTTTCAACCGTGCAATTACACAGTTGGTCCATTAAATCGTCCATTAAATCGTCCGTCGTTGTCTAGTCGTCGTCTGGTCATCGTTATGTCGTGTGCATAGCTACTTCGTAGCAGTCACGATTATTAAAAGTAGCATTTTTAGATTCTTACGATATTGCAGTCCCTAGGTGTCGCCTTAATATGTACACTCGCTACCCATTCGCGCTCCTAGCTATGCTCCTTGCAAGGATCTTCAGGTTTAATAATTAATCGTACTGAATTAGCCCATTACAACGGCGGGGTATCGAAGTACAATGTGTACCTGTCTGTATGAACGATGTATGTATGTATTATGCTGTGTGTATGTGTCATGGTATCATCTCCTCTTTTTTTTCTCATTATGTTCCTTTAAACGCACAATCGTCGTGTATATCTGTGTATGTAACGCGTGTAATACTTCTTTTTTATCTCTTTTTTAATTATACTCGAGCTGAGAGATATTTAAGAAATCGTGTCATACTATTATTTCTTTTGGGATGGGTTTAGTTTCGCCTACAGTATCGTTTATTAACGGCAAGGAAGGAAAAATCGTCGAGAGAGAACAATGGTCGATCGGTCGCGCGCGCTATTTCTGTAGTATTTATTTTTTTCGCATTTTCGCATATATTTTATAATATTTTTTTTTTATCTTGAAAACCCACTATCCTGCCCTCCAGTTTAGTTTAGTTTAGATTAGACTGAAAGAAAGAGAGCCCTTTCACTTGAAGCGGAACACATTCAAAAGTAAACGCTATTATTTCTATATCGCTTAACCGGGGAATACATGAGATACTTTTATCCTTCGTGGATGGTCGATATTTTAAGCTTTTCTCGTAAAATGTGGTATTATAATTTATTTTTATTTAGTTTACTCTTCCTCTTTCCATTCTCCTTCGTCTTCTCCCTTCTTTTTTTTTGCATTTTTTCTCTTTTTTTTCTTTTTACTCTTTTTTACTAACGAACCATTCCTCTGGATGCGTTAAATACGAAGATTCGTCTGTGGAAATTGGAAACCTGTCCCTGGTCGTGCCGCGTCCCGTCTTCGCTCGAAATACGCCATTTTCGTGTCTGTTGCACGACACGACACGATTCAATTTGCGCGCTTGAATCGTACACCGGAAGTGAAATAAATGTTCGCCAAAGACGACTCACGGCATCTGTGATTCACTACATTGCTATTCATTAATGTCCTTGCATTGGTGAATTTGCAACCGAATTAATATCTTTATCCAGTGCACGTTGCCTATTTCATGGCCGTATTATACGCACATATACATATATAATATGTACACGCATATGTATATATGTATATAGGTATATATTCAGCTCGTACTTATTACCATGGAATTTATATCGGTGATATATCGATCAGCTTCGCGCAATTCTATATTTATTTCTTGAAAGTCACTCATCTTGAGAATCGAATGAAAGCGGAATAGGAAAATCGAAGATGCCATATTGATGATGATCATCCAACAAGCAATCTATCGATTTTCTTTGAGAATGAAGAATGATTATTCGAAACTCTTCCTAAAATTGCTATTCATTCAATATTTTGCTTTAACTAGAGATACTATAGATAAAGGTTGTTTCCTGTATTTTTTTGTCCTAGCTAAAGCAAAAATTGAATCAATTTTTCTTTTTTGAAGCGGTAATTCGATTGCATATTTTCCAGGCACTAAAGAAAGACGGGACACGTACCAAATATAAATATATCGATACAATCACCAGCGGCAAGCAGATCGAACATTTAGGAACGAAAGATGCGTAAATGTTTAATACGTATACCTCTTTATATGGCAGATTATTACGGACTAGTACTTTTTTTCCATGTTACTTTGCGGGGGAAAAACCTCAAACCACCTTCAAACGTCCCTTTTTCTCGGGTTCGAATAGAATTTTAAAAGGGCATCAGGAGGATCCTTATGATCGATCGATAATATACTTTCAAAAAGACATTATTGCGTTAATTTACTCGCTACAAAGTTCCTTCGTCTTCTTCTCCTTTTTTTCTCTAGCTTCATATCCCTCGTGACTTTTGCTTTTCGATCGATTTTCTTTTTTTTTTTTTACCTAAATACACGCGTATAATTTACAGACGAGCACACCCAGAGAACAATATGGTTGAAACATTTTTTATCATTTTTTCTTCCCTAACGAAGCCTGTAAACGAGTGGTTGTTTTACCGGTAAGAATGAAAATAAAAAGAGTTGGATGATGGATCGTCATAAACGATAGCGGCGGTACTGTCAAAACTTTTCCGTTGCTATTTCCTGTGTGGTCAAACTGAATTGTATCCCGCTGTGTATGGCATGTGAATGTGACGGTACTGTTGTTGGCTGTTTGTTATTATTGGTATCCTGTTACTGTTGCTGTTCTCGTTGCTTCAACTATGTTCCTTCCTGTGTGCAAGAGGACCGAACACACTGGTTTGTTCCTCGGTCTCGTGGTTCTCGATGGGACTTCGTACAGAAAATATCATTCTATCTTTTGGAACGATTTAGAAGATTTCGATCATATCTTCTGCACGATCCTCGTTTTGTGCTTCGTCTGTTGGTTTCTTAATGACAGACGATTCTCAGTAGCTGGAAGCTTCTCGATCGTTTCACGAACTAGCGTTATCTGTGCGATTACTTAATGGAATTTACTTATCCTAGTTTCACGAGCCGAGACGCGACTTGATAATTGTTGTTTGATTTACGTCTTATCGCGTTCTGCCCCGTGACAAATGGTACACGAGTTCTACAACCGAATATTTATCAAGAATTTTCTTCTATTATATTTCTAGAAACTTACGAGGTGTCAATTTTATGTTTTACCATCAATCGATAACATTTCGTGTACCATTTATCAGTATGTATATTACCATCAGCCGTTTCTTTATCGACTATCGATAATAAAACTGCATTCTTTTCATCTGTAATGAAATCTTACAATTTTTTATCGATTTCATTTCCTTCTTTCTTCGTTTAACATTTATCGGATAAGACGATGGCGGTTAAGGCAATTATCAACGTTAAACGCTCGACTCCTGTACATCACATTAATCGTAGGTTTAAAACTATTTACATATAGGTCTCGTATACGCCTGCAATCACAATGATCTTTACATCGATCGTCGAGAGCGCGCCTTTAAAACTTCATGATTCGCCGGTTGTCGCCGAGAAACATGACTTTTTAAAGCGATTCCTTCGGACGCGCTGATTTGTCGGAATTATATTATTAACGCGAGATTCGGTGAACCCTTTTTTCCATTCTTCTGTGATCTCCGTTGTCGAAATCCCCAATTCACGCGCAAAATCTCATCGATCCATCCCTGGGTTGATGCAAAGCGACCGATGAACGTAAACGCGATTCGAATCTCGTGGAATTAATCCGTGCAACGTAAAATTCGAGTCCTTAAAGCTTCTTCATTTCTTTTTTAATTATTCTTGTTCACTGGTTCCGTTCGCGACCAATCTTATCCTAGCACTTTTACACAACGTCCTTCGACATCAGTCTCACCGCGTTCTTTAGGGATTGCCTCTTGTTACAGAACCAAATCCTGATCACTTCTCTGTCGTATCCGAGGCGTTGCGCCAAGTTCGTAATTTCGTTGCCTGAAATAAGTACAGAGGAAGACGATTATTAATTTTTGAAAAGAATTTTATCTTTTTTCTTGCTTGAATGTATTTAATAGGTAACGAGATTTTTTAATTTTTCGTATTTAGAATCTTTATATAATATGTCAAATGCTTGGTTACGACCATTTCTGTATGAAATTCCATTCGCT